GCTCTGTTGCTCTGGCTCTTACGGATTTGCACACGCAGCACCCAGGGCGCCCGTGGACCCCGGGCGCTTAGTAAGCGCTGCGTTGCTGACTGGCAGAGGCTTAGAGGAGAGACAGCGCTTAAGGGGCAGAGGATGGGCCCAGGCCCAGGGCTCCCAGCGGGAAGATGACCCTTATTCCAGCCTGTGGCCCACTGCGCCCCCTGCAGGTCTCTAGCGTGTCATTTCGGGCATTTAAAACTTTCCCCTGCAGCCCGGCCAGCGTGGGTGATCACCTCTGCACCAGGAGGTCATGGTTTGATTCCCAGTTGGGGCACAGGCCCAGATTGTGGGCTCGATCCCCAGTGTGGGGCGAGCAGGAGGCAGCCAATCCATGATTCCCTCTCATCACTGATGTTTCTCCCTCTCCCTCTCCCTTCCTCTCTGAAGTCAGTAAGAACACATTTAAAAAATAAAAAATAAAAAGTAAAACTTCCCCGCTAGGGCAGGTGCAGGCCAGAAGGGGTCAGTGTGGGGAAAGGGGGATGGATGCAATATTTCAACAATAAAGATTTTAAAAAAAACCTTCCCCACAGAACACAGTCACCAGCCCTTTCTCTCCCCATCTTCTCTCCTCCGACCGAGGAGGAGGAATCTTAACGAAGGGGCCCTGCAGCTGGGGCCTGGCTGCTGGTCTCATTTGACAAACACACAATTGAAGCCGCTAATAAAGCCATCCGTCACCCCGGCCTCGGCAGTGCTGAGCTGAGGCCTCTCTCTTTAAATCAATTTTTAGGAGGATAATGAATTGGGTCTCGTTCGGGAATATCAGCAAAAGCAGCGGCTCGGTGAGGTGCCCCCGAGGGAAAGGGGACGCCTCCAGGGACGTGTCACCTCGGCACGAGCTCTCCTACAGGACCCCATCCCCTGCCTGTCTCTCCCACCTCTGGGGCGGGGGAGGGCGGGCGCCCGAACTGCACCCACTCACTCCCCCACTTCCTGGAGCAGGAGGTGTTGTATGTAACTGTCCAGGAAGCCGGTGGGAAGCCGGGAGAATCCTGGCCTGCTCCTCGGGCCCTGGCACCTGCCGTCTCCCCGCCATGGGCGCCGGGTGGGCCTCCCAGGGCTGCCGAGCAAAGCCCTGTGGGCAGGCAGAGCTGGAGCCGCAGAAACCCGCTTTCTCGGCCCAGAGACTGGAAGTCCGAGGCCCAGGTGTGGGCAGGGCCGGGGCCTTCCCATCGCGTCGTCCTCAGCGTCTGCCCGGGTCCTGGTTCCCTCCTCCTACAGGTTCGCCTGGCACGGCTCGCTGGGCCGGGCCCTCCCCCGCCCCCACCCGCTGACCTGGTATCAGCGTACTTACCTCTGCAAAGACCTGTCCCCGAGCGGTCCCATCCCGAGTGAAGGTCGGGAGTGAAGGCTGCAACCTGTGAACCTGGGAGGCGGCACCATTCAGCCCAAACAGGTGCCACATAGAACTGCCCTCGAGGCCCTGGCCGGCAGTCAGGCAGTGAGACTGATGTTTCTCCACGCCAACGTTGCAGGTTCGGTGCCCGTCAGGGCGCATACCAGGACCAACCCACGGCCCTGACCAGTTTGGATCCCTGGTTAGAGTGTCGGGCACAGACTGAAGGGTCTCAGGTTCAATTCCCGGCCAAGGTCATGTACTTCAGCCCGGCCAGCGTGGCTCCGCGGTGGAGCGTCCGCCTATGAACCAGGAGGTCACGGTTCGATTCACGGTTTGATTCCCAGTCAGGGCACAGGCCCGGGTTGTGGGCTCGATCCCCAGTGTGGGGCCTGCGGGAGGCAGCCGATCAGTGATTCTCCCTCATCATTGATGTTTCTATCTTCCTCTCCCTTTCTCTCTGAAATCAATAAAATTACATCAAAAAAAGAAAAGATCACCTACCACCCACCTCAGTTGCAGGTTCAATCTGCAGCCCCAGTCAGGGCACACGGGGGAGGCAGCCAGTCCATGTCTCTCTCACATCGATGTTTCTCTCCCTCCTCCCTCCCTTCCACTCTCTCTAAAGATTGATGGAAAAAATATCCTTGGGTGAGGATTAAAAAAAGAAACAAAGGAATGCATAAATAAGTGGAACAACAAACTGATCTCTTTTTCCCTCTCATCAATCAAAAAAAATTTTTTTACAAGAAAGAAAACCTCACCCAGCAGCAGAGAGCGAGTTAGAAGCCAGGGAGCAGGGGAGTGTGTGTCTGCATTAAGCTGATTAGGGGGAGGCCTGCTGGGGCCTCGGCTATAATTAGGGAAACTGAAGTCGGGTTGGGAGAGGTGCTCCTGCCTGGTAATTGGGGGCTGTGCTCTGCGGGCAGGGACCCGCTGCTGCTCAGTGATGGGGGTGGGGAGGGTCTGAGGGCAAGAGAGGCTCCAGGTGGTCAGCTCCCTACAGCTGGCATCTAGGCCTCAGCCGGGACCAGCTGCGGTGGCTAAGGAGCCCCGGCCTGCCACTGACCACTCAGTGAGACGAATCCTGGAGCCCGTGACCCGGAAAGCACACACCTGGAGGGCTGATGAATATGCTGCGGGAACCTCCCCATTCGTCTTCTGTGTGTGTTAGTCCGCACCTGAGGATATTTTTCCCATTGCTTTCCAGGGAG